ATATATTATATATATATTATTATGACCACCTGCCAGTTTTAAACAAAATGAGCCATTTCGCCTCAGTGTTGCTGTTAGAGCGCGAAATAGTTACGAAAAGAGAATGCAAGGCAAAGCAAGTGAACCATCAATTGTATTGTGTTACACGCGGAGATATGGCCAATAAACGTGACTAGGATTACCCGAAGTTGTTTAAAAATTCCTATGTTTAACAAAAACAATGAGGCTCTTTAAGGTTAATCTTAATTTGTGTCAAGAGGTGTTAAAAAAGAATACTGATACTACCATCTTGAGATCCCTGGCTAACGAAGCAACAAACAATTACTATCCTGAAGATCTCTGGCTTCATATATTTACAGACTACTCTCTACTCTTCAATTGTAATAATGCAGGGCCAGGAATCTCCTCAAAATTACTTTTATTTTACACTTCTGTGGGACAAGGAGCCGCATTTGATGGTGAAATAACCACCATTCGAGCTGCTCTGTCTCAAATCCATTGTCACCATGACCAGTTTACAAAAGCAGTTATTTTTTGTGACTCTAAGGCAGCACTTCAATCCATCAATTCCTCTGACGATCCCCAAATCCTTGAAGTCATGGACTGCCGACGACTCCTACGAAGCCTTGAGTCACACAGGAAAATCATTGTCCTTCAGTGGGAAACGAGAGTGCAGATCTTTTGGCCAAGAAAGGCGCCTCAATTATTGAAATTCCTTCCCGCGCAATAACATTTTGTTTCATCAAGAAAATGGACACAAATTGTATAAAAGACCATTACCTCATGGACCTGTGCAAAAGAGAGTCCGATAAACCTTGGAGGGATTTAGTCCCCAAATCCTATATTGGGCGAAGGCGTAGAGCTGTGGCAGAAATCCGCCTGGCCACTGGACACGACTGTCTTCTTAAACACCTCATCAGAATTAACATTGCTCCTTCTCCCATCTGCACACTTTGTAACTTTGGGGAGGAAACGAATTCACCCCCATATTACGCACTATCCTGCTTTGCGCAGGTCTTCTCTAGTCGAGTGATATTGGGCACGAGATCTTTTGCATTAATGGACTCAAGCTACTGCATTATGTTTACCATCTCCTATTTAGATTTCTTATTGTGCTGTAACTACTGTCCAATAAATTTGCCATTGGAAATAAAATTAAAAAAAGCGCTTAACAAAAAATGCTTGACAAGAGGCAGAAAAGGAATAATATTGAAGCATACTTTAGACTTTGGAACTTTACCATGCCACTTTGGAAAAGCTAAGTTTTACTAGTAAGTCCGGAATTTTACAGTAATATATACACCGAAGAGCCATTACATTATGACCACCCTGCTAATACATGTAGGACCACCTTTAGCCCTCAAAACTGCTAGCACCCGCCGTGGCATTGCTTCCATTAGGTGCTGATAGGTAATCTTAGGTATCTGGTACCAAGCGCTCACCAACTGGTGCTGCAATTCCCTCACATTGCGAGGGGGTAGCGTGGCGGCACGAATTTTGTTTCCCAAGTAGGACCACAAATGCTCTATTGGATTAAAGTCAGGTGAATTTGGGGGCCAAGACATGACTTGAAAGTCGCTGGAATGTTCCTCAATCCAATCCATGATGATTCGACCCTTATGACATGGTGCATTATCCTGTTGGTAAACACCATCCCTCGCAGGAAAAACTGTTGCCATGAATGGGTGAACCTGGTCTGCAACTATGTTCAAGTCAGGGATTGTTCTATGAGGATTACGTGTCCTAATGTGCCCCATGAAAACATTGTTCCTGAGCGAGAAACCATGAAAACATGGGCGAGCCCATTGTTATAGATGGAGGGTGGCTCTTCGGTGTATACGTAAGTAAGAAGCTGTACCCAAGTCCTTAGTCCTTTTCTTCATGTTGTGGTGGTCAGGGCGCATTTGTTGAGGAAAATGCAGGCACGTCAAAAACTTAAATACTAATTTTTTCTTCGCTGTCAAAGCATACTTCAGACCTTTACCAAGTCACTTTGGAAGAGCTCTGTTTTAAAAATAATCGGTAAAATGCTGGTAAAATCGAATTTTCAACGTAACATACACAATGTAAGATCCTGCAACCAAGTCCTTAGTCCTTTTTTTCATTTGTAGTCAGAGAGCATTTAGTTAAGGAGAATGCATTGCATACACGTCAAAAATTTAAGAAAGTAATTTCTTCATCGCTGTCAAACGTCGTCACTCATGAAAAAATCGCAAAGTTTGGCAATCTTTCAATATTTTTCTTTAGCGCATTTTTTAAAAAATGCATTTAGCAGTTGTTTCTCCTTTTCTTGAACAATGCATTCACCAATGTGTCATAACTCAGCAAAGGTACTTATTCCACCCAATAAACATATTTCTTTTTTTGCGTCATTTTTCCTAATAGCGTTAAAACGAGAGTTAAGCCTTTGTTGAAAAATGACTTATTTGGAAAGACGCTGTTTTATTTAGGGGAAATTCCGTCAAATAATCTACTGTTTAAGAATCATAATCATCATAGTTGGCTTACTTACTGTTTAAGAATAATTTCTCCAAATTTCTCCTCGTTGATGGGCCACGAAGAATTGTTTGAAAAAAGGATTTTTCTCAGTAATACCAGATATTTCCCTATGCTATCGAAATAACGATTTTTTCTGACGAAGGAATATTGACATTGTATAAGGGAAATTCGCTTTCAGACAAGTTCGTAGCCTAATAACTATTGGGAAAATCTGATAACATCGGAGATAACTAAAGAATTTTAATAAACTCGTCGCAATGCGCATTTTTCGCTTTAGAATAGAAATTTTCCCTAAAAATCAAAGAATAAACTTTTAGTAACGTTAAGATTGAAATATATTCACTTTTTATTAAGAAAAAGGGTCATGTTTTAAATTTTCTAATAATATGGCAATTCTTGTAACTCTGTTTAATAAAAGTTTTTTCCAAAATGTTTCTCACTTTGCTTCGCCGCGAAGACTTCGTCGGGAAAACTTTATTTGAATTATGAAATGTCCAAAATTCTTCCATATTATACATACAGGATCCTAAAAATATAACAGATTAACCTTTTTTACTACATTTTGTCGTAAATTTAACATTTGAAGCATTAAACAAGAAAATTAAATGTCTATATTTCATAAAAATATGCATTCTAAGCTTTAGCGATGTGCTTTGGAGAAAAAACTATAGATCTCTGTTTCTAATTTAAAAACAGATGTAATTAAAATCATTTTAAAGAGAATTAATGGCATAATATTTTTCAAATAATGAAAAGAATCTTAATATTTTTCAAAATTTTTATGTTCTTGAACCTTTTCGTTGAAAAAGTTATTTCTGCGAGTATTTCTATTTTTCTTTTACTAAAAATAAATCGAGAGCTTTAAATTTACTACTGTGCAAATGTTAACACGTTGAACGCCGCGCTAATTTTACATGTCTTGCCCTTAAGGCACATTAGTAAATAACTAAAAACTAAATTTTCAAATATTAGACAGATTTTGTAAGTTTTTAAAAGGTTTAGCACGACGTATCTGAAATAAGTGGTGAATTATATAAGCCTACGAATTGTTTAGAAATTGTGGTGGATAAAAACCTAGTAAATTGAATTTATTAAACCAAGAATCACAATAATTAAGTAAATTTTGAATAAATTTTCTGCAATTCCATAAAAGAGTGTCAATTTTATAGTTCTATATCATGTTATACGCTGTCAGCCAGCTGTTTTTCGAAGCCTATGTGAAAGGTCCGTGTCAGCCACCGGTGGCTGACGCGTCCTAAATGGAAAGTCCAGTGTCAGCCACCGATGGCTGACGCGGCGCTCAACGTGAAACCTCTCCGTTAAGCCAGTAGGGTAAAGCGAAAAGAAAAAGTTTTCCATAATTGAAAAGCACTACCTCCCAAAAGTTATGTTTGGGCAAGTATATCCCTCGTGAACTAATCTCTTGTGAATTAGAATTTTTATACATCTTCTTCATTCCCCTCAAAAGCCTTAAACTTTTTCAAAATATAAAAGTTTTGCAAATTTTTCAGATTTTCAAAAAGTATCATATAAAAACAAATCACCCCTTAAAAGTTGTGTATTGAATGAAATATTATTTATGAATTTTTCAGAAATATTTTCTCTTTTTGCAACAGCTATAAAAATTATAAAATTTCGAGGAAAAAAAATATATAATTTTTAAAAATTATCGAAATAATAAAAATTGACACAAATGTTGCGCACCTACAATTCCCAAATATTGTGTACCTACTGAAAAATATATTCAAAAAATTTTTCTGAAATTTTTCTGGTTCATTTTCCCAGTTACTCAGTAACAGACACTGGAGGTTTTTTTTCTCTTTTCTTTTTTAAACTTTGTTCGTATTAATAATACTATTGTGAGGCTTATAAATTACAACCAAAAGTAAACAAGAGAGAGAAAGCTAAAGAATACACCATAGCTTCACAAAAGTATCATTGAAGGCTTGTTTAAGATTTGATATAAAAAGATATTGCAGCTTATACTCCCATATTAAAAGAGGCTAATTCCATTTAGATAGTTGATAGATCTAAGGTACTAATGCAAAACTAAAAGCTTTTTTTAGAGTAGTGGGATATTTCGCATTCGAAAAGTTTCTCAGGGCTTATGACTCCAAATTTGGTGGATATTTACCATAAAAACTGAATAGCTTAAATTCACTAAGTATTTTTGATCTGCACTGAGAAAAGAAATGTTACATTCTCTCATTTCTGATGAATTTCTTTTTTCAATCCGTAGAAACTTATCGATGAAAGGTGTTAGCATTTGACCAAACTCTTGCCCATTGGTCAGGGAAATCATTGAGAACTCACTGTTGGACCGCCCAGGTAATTCATAATATGCCTTAGTGTTAGCACATTTGAGTGACACTCGTCTGTCACTCATTGCACATCTTTCTTGAACTTCTTTTAAGAAGACAAATAACGTGAAAAAAATCCTTTATATCTGACACTGAAGGAGTTTAAGGAAAGATGAGTCCAAGTTAAATAGTTCCTAGTTCTTAAATAATCACGATATACATATTGTTATATTTTTGATCTGCGATGGAAACGACCATCTTTTGTCTCGTTCATGATTAACGTTATGTTTTTTCTTCCTTCCAAGTAAGTATCTTGAAGTTTCATTTCTTATTCTTTGCTTTGTTCGTATTTCTTCTTTGTTCGTATTTGTTCGTATTCGTTCTTTGTTCGTATTGTTCTTATTTGTTCGTGTACACCAGTCGAGAAAGATCGAAGAACCCTTGTATTTCATTATTTCAAATTTTATGTTTTTTCCCCCTGTGAATCATATGGAAATGCTACCGTGAAGTCAGTACCTGGTTACATATTTAGCCCATGATCCAGCAAATGTCCCAAGTTCACTTTTCGCTTGGAGTGTGACTGAGGTTGAAGGCAGTGTAGAGCTTGAGACTTCTGGTACTTCTCTGAAATCGAATTCAAAGTTTTCAAAATACGTTTTTCTTTTTATTTAGCTCGTTTCTAATGCTTCGCATAAAACAAGATTTTGTTTTTAATCTACCCATCTTTTTTAATTAATTGCTCACAGACTTTCAAATCAATGTTACATTTATTATCATTCATATTACAGTTTGTTGGTCATTTAAAAACCTCTGGCTTTATATGAACTTTCCTTACGTTTTTATAGCTGCAATGCTCGTGGTAAACGCCATTGCACTCAGCGATGTCTAAAAGTTGTTTTTGTACAAATGTCTACTTAAGTAATAAACGTGG